TGGGGGGGGGGGAAGTGTTGCAAAGTGGTTAAGAATGCTTGTCTATAACGTTTAAAACTAGATATAGAACACAGTTTATACAAAACATAATAATTCCTTGCAACAATAAAATTTTTCATTTTTAAAATAAAAAAAATAAAAAGATTCTCAAGCTTCATAATATTTTCGTCCCACCACCAATATAGAGATAGATATAAATTTGTATATACAATAAAATAAATTAATAACTAAAAATTAAGGCCTTTTATACAATATTTTAAGTGATCAATACGAATGCTAAAAATTCTTCGTCTTTGTAGATGGGAAACCGTGCCACAAATGGGTTAAAATAATGTATATTATTTTTGTCCTTGGAAAATAACCGCATGCACATTATTTTAAGTAATGAATCACGCCACCATTTCAAAGGGTTAAACCTCAATAATTAGTTTGGGCTCTAACTGTATGCTGCAAAGGATTAACAAAATATTTAGTAGAAATAATACTGACCAATCAGCGCGCGTGTTCTCATCAGGGGCTGCCAGATCCAGTTCAGTTACCCATATCGGTATGCCAGGTTGTGCCAAAAGGTCCAAACGGTGCTTTCAAAGTATCAAAATAAATGCTTGAAATTCAACTTTACTTTTAAGTCTAAGCTAGGTTTTTTTATCTTCTACTCTAAACAATTATGCGTAAATGTGCTTTAAGAATGAAAGGAACTGGTATAATTTTCCAAAATAAAAAACTGTATTTGGGTACCCTCTTCCAAAGGTCAAGACTCCTTTTTTTGCTTTGAAACTGCTTACATTACAATTTTTAAAAAAAATAACTTAAACTTATTCTTTATATAAAAGGTGCACCCTTACAAAAATTGTTACGCGTACAAATGTGTGAACTTTCACCCCAAGAACTCTTACTATAGCGACCAGTATTGTTTATGAAATAATTGGAGCTGTATTTGCTATGAAGATCATCTAAGTGATTCCAATTTTTAATATTGTCTAAGAAACGAAACAAATATTTTTCAACAGAATGGGAACTCAAAAGTATTCTCCCTTTCCCCTCATTCCTCCTGTAGCGCTCACGAAGTGTACCCTGTATGACATAACGGGAATACAACGCCGCAATCTTTACCTTCATGAGAGTTGGGTCAGGAGCTTCGTAGTGATGGAAGTGACTCTGAACCCCGACACCCCCGAGACCGACATTGGCCGCCTTGAATTGTTTGATCTGGTTCAAGTAAGCCTGGGAGAAAGAAGAATTTAAAAAAAAAATTGAACATCAAATGTTGATAGAGACAAACAACACGCCACGGGTAATTATTCAAAAAGAAAATATTTAGCTCTGACTTCTATGACAGCGCTGACTGCCATGAAAGTCCTGACTGCTCTGAAAGCCATGACTGTTCTTTCAGTATATGAATTTGATCAATGAATCAGATCAACGGATTGGACCTACTTATTTGGTGTCTAAGTGCCTTGAGCCCAAACTTTAAAATTGCAAAATCTCGAATTATGTTCATATTAATGTCCATTCTTAAGTTCCGTGTCAATAGGGGTGTTACCCGGGTAATAGGTGTGTGACCAGTGTCAATAGGCATGAGAACCGTGCATACCCCTCCCCTGAAACAGTCGCAAACGACCACACTACTCCCCATCTTAGTTCTTTTCAAAACCGTCCTTCACAAGGAGCCTTAAACATC